AGCGCAACCTGGGTCGTATTGACGGGAGACTCGAGAGCGAGATGGCGCCCACCCAGAAGGCGCATCTAGTCGGAGGGGAAGGCGGAGGCGATAGCCGGGTCGCTTGCGGTGTCGGGGGGCGGAGGAGGGCGGAAGAGTGTGGCGAGAGGCGCGCGGAGAGCGTGCTGCTGCCGGCGGAGAGGGTGGTCGTGGGCGGCGGCGCAGCAGACGCAGTGATTGCCACCGTCACGCCCGAGGTGGACCTGACTGCGGCTCCGGCGGAGGCGCAGGCGGCGGAGGAGGCGCAGGCGGCGGAGGAGGCGCAGGCGGCGGAGGAGGTGGCTGGGGCTGCCGAGGGGGAGGTTGGCGGTGCTGCGGCAGCGATGCCGCTGACGGAGGTGGGTCTCGCTGCCGTGGGCGGCGGGGCGGCGGGAGGGAGTTCGGCGGCGGGAGGCAGCTCCGTGACCGGGGTGGGGGGGGAGGAGGAGGCGGAGACGGAGGAGAAGGTGGCCGGGGAGGAGGTGGCGCAGGAGGAGGAGGAGGAGGTGAGCGACTCGGAGGAGGAGAAGGAGGAGCCGATGGAGGAGGCGGAGGAGGCGGAGGAGGCGGAGGAGGCGGGGCTGGCGGCGGTGGCGGCGCCAGAGGCGGGCGGCGCGGCGCAGCCCGCAGAGGCGGAGGCGGTGATGGCGGAGGCGGTGATAGCGGAGGCGGCCGCGGCGCGAGCGGGCGAGGGGTCGGCAGCGGAGGCGATGGCAGCGGCGGAGGCGACGGTGACGGTGGCGGCGGCGGACGGCCAGGCGGCTGCCGTGGTGGAGGGGAGCCCGGACGAGAAGGGTGTGGCGTGGTTCACGGTACGCAGCGTCCACTGCGCGGCATGCCACGCGTGTAAACAGCGCCTCTTCACGCGTGCATCTGTGAACAGGCGCAGTCGCTGCCTCACATCATCTGCCATCTCGCGCCACAGCAAGACAACGACTACGACTGCGGCGAGCACACGCCCCCCCCCCGCAGCGCACGCCCCCCGCAGCGCACGCCCCCTCTTCTCGCGACATGAGCGAGACACGATTGCGCTGAGCGACACACTTTGCCACAGGTGTCTACATGCTCCACTTCGTCGAGTGCTCTCGCCGGCCGCCGCTGCCGACACTGCGAGCAGGCCCTGCGTTCAGCCGTGAGGTTTGCGCGAGTAGGAAACTCGCCTGTGCGGAGAGGCTGCCCTCCTTCGCCAGCGCGCAGGGCCACTGCGCAAACACACCCGGCTCTCCCCAAGCCGCCATTGGGCGCTCCCGCGGTCCCCTCCGGGCTGAATGCGGCCTCCGGAGCGGGCGGCGCGAGCGTCTAACGTAAGTCTACTCATAAATAAATAAATAAAAACGGACACCTCTCTACTGTGAGATGGGTAAAAAGGAACAGGTCCCCGCCCTTGTCTAAGTCTACTGTCTAAGTCTACTCATAGCTTTCGCTCCACGCTCTTCTTTGCGTTCCGAAGCACCCACTGCGCTCTTCTGTAGTGGCTAGTGCATCGCCTGGTCAACTCGCTTGCCACTGTCATTTGATTGCCCCCGCCCTCTCGCTCCACAGCCGCCACCGCGCCGGCCATCGCGGAATTCGCGTCGGATCTCTCTCCTCTCACTGCGATGTGGCCGCCCACCGCCCTGTCACCACCGTTACCGTTACCTCCACCGCCCTCGCCACCGCCCTCACCCCCTCATGCCGCCGCTACCATTCCGGCCACCCTCGCCGCTCCCACCCTCATGGCCTCATCCCCACCCTTGCCCCCGCCGCCCCTGCAATCCCCACCAAGGGGGGCGGACGCCGGTGCCGCCCTCGACGCCCCCTTCGCAGCCGTCTCTTCCGCCGTCGCCTCCGCCCTCACCGCCCCGCCGCCGTTGCCGCCGCCCTCGCCGCCCGTGCTCTTGCCGTCGCCGTGGAGCCCGCCGCCCTCTTAGGCTACCCCCCCCCCCCCGCCCTCACCGCCGCCCTCGCCGCCACCGCCCTCGCCGCCGCCGCCCTCGCCGCCGCCTCCCTCGCCGCCGCCGCCGCCCTCCAGCATGCCGCCGCTCTCGCCCTCTCCCCCTCCCAAGGCAGCACGCAGGCCACTGCGCAGCCACACCCGGCCCTCTCCGAGCCGCCACGGGG